GAGAGGCCAGCAACCACAGATCAGAAATGAGCAGCTCTCAAGCAAAAGATTCCTGCAGAGAGGACAAAACACAAACTAAAGAGAGGAGCGGCAAAGGTAAAGGCATGCAATGGAATAGTGAGAAAGACAGAGAGGAGAGTAAAGGTGCTCAGTGCATTATGGGAAGCTCTTCAGCAGTCAAGGCCCACTGCAGCTTAACTGAGGCTCCAACTATAAGCTTTATTAAAAAGTTAAGTTTTAAGCCTAATCTTAAAATTAGAGACAGTGTCTGCCTCCCAAATCCAAACGGGTTCCACGTTTTTAAGCTCATGAAAAGAGTAACAAATTTGAGGAAAGGCTCATTTTAAAGTGTGTGTTTGAGGCAGACGTTGTGTTCACATATGTGCTGTTTTCCCAGGGGTCTGCAAACTTTAGCACTTCCCCAAACTGATCTGTAAAAAGTGAGTACTTGCATAAGAATACAGCAAATAAATCAGAAAGACAATCATTTGTTTGCAAATTACTGCTTTGTGTGACATGTTCAGAAAAGTGGATGACTGAGGAAAATCCAGTAACTAAAACCTGACCACATAATGAACCATCTGTTTTAAGCTCGTTTTAATGAAGTCCTAATTATACAGCAGACAGTGGTATTTTAGACTCCTGTGTGGAAAGGCAGTTTCTTGTTTCATTTTAATGAAGTAAGGTCCATAAAGAAATTGCTTTTTAAGTTTGGTGCTGAAAAATTTAACTGGTCTGCATGGAACGATGACTTTAACCCTTTGTAAGAACTTTTTAAATGAACTGGAACGCCGGGCTGAGCTGCATCAACCTCGGTAATCCTTCTCTGGCTGCAATGGGAACAGTTCCCTGCAGCCAGATTACAAAATCTTGGAAAGTCCTCACAGAAAAGCTGAGACATTTTTAGCAGCATATTAATGTGTGTTGGAATAGTATGTCAGCAGTTACAGATGGGTTTCTTTCCATGTAGCACTTTTAAGTCATGTCATCAGGTATCAGCATTTTTGAAGAAGCCCCCGAGCATTAACATGATTAAAATGGATGCGTAATTTGTTGTGCTTCATTTCTGTTGCATCAAATTTGGTAGAGTGGTACTGGAGTTTTTAACAGGTTCAACAACATCAGAGCTAACTGACTTCTTGTTGCTTCTATTTATGCTCTGATTTTAATTCGTTAGATAACAATTCGGAATCTTTCTCCAAAATGTCTCTCACCTACAGAGCCCAAGTTCATTCATTTGGGTCTCACAGTTTTGCAGGTGTACTGACTAAATTCAAAGACCTTTTTTTAAAAATAAAAGTTCAAACAAAATAGGCAGATTCTGAGGGAGCTCAGGACAGTCCCTCCCTGCCCTCCTCGCTTCGACTCACAAACACAGCCCAACCTCACACACCTTCATCTTCCTGCAACCAGACAGTAATTGCGTTGACATTTCGCCGCCGTAACGCTTGTGTGCTAGGTTACGCTTCGAGCGGCATTAACCTTTGCCAAATGTAGCCGGGTTCATCGTTGTTAGGTTGGACCATTCTACGGTTTAATAAGAAGCCTCTGGCTGCTACTATATGCTGCGAGGGAGTTTGAGCCCTCCTCTGGGACTCTGGGAGATGCACAGCGGTCAATATCAAGATCAAATACAGCATGTACAAGTGAGTACGGGAAAAAAAAAAAGCAAAAGACATCCCTCCGTGTTCACTGAGTGCCCTGGATATTTGAATTGAATGGACATAATGCAGCCAAAACAGGAGCAACACTTAAGTTGGCTGGTCACGGTGCTGCTTGTTTAACTTTTTATGCCTGTGTCATTGAGAGTGGGTATGTTTCCTTGCCAACCAGCTCCTACACCCAGTAAATTTACTTTGCAATGAGGGTATGCAAAGGTGGGTATCGCTGTCAACGCTGCTATTTGATAACTGCAAACAACAAATGCATAATCTGTGCTATAGAATATTGCCTACTATAGACTGATGGAGTCATATTTCTGTCCAGTCAGCAAGTGAACAGTCAGTATTGATGAAAACAAGACTGACAAGAGCAAGAAGAGTAAATCGAAAAGTGGGCCACAAAACAAACAAAATCAACTAACTGGAGTTAACATATTATGTGTAGGGTTTTTATAAGGACATTATATATACTCTTTTGATGTACAGTTAATGTAAAAGTATTCACAGTCACATTTGTTTTGGGATTTTTCAGTATCATGTAATTGTGAAATGTATGTGTAATTGCATTAAATCTTTAAACTCTGCCGTTTTCTCTTTAATGAACAAGGTTTATTGGGGGGAAAAAAAAAAAAAGTTAATTAAATGCACCCATTTGAAACCCATTACCAACACAATTCTCTGCCAGGAAATAGTGCATTCAAAATCTAGCGTCTCAGGCAAATTATGGATGTTCACAGACTGTAATAAAGCTAAAAAAAAAAATAAAAAAAATCGACCCTGCTTCAGCTCGTTCAGCAGACAGAATGTGAGCTCGCTCTCAGGCGCCCTGTTTCCCTGCAAAAACAATGAACCACTCCATGGCAATCAGGAGATGTCAAGTCTCCAAACTTGGGCTATTTATTTATTTTACACAACCGGGGTGATGTTTTCACATAATTGCCCCAGAAATGCCTGTTAAAAAAAATGAGTTCATCACGAACAAATGGAGCACTGATTGAAAAAGTTAATTTCCTTGTTGTGTACTGTTTTGTTTTGTAATTGGGCCTCTCCCTGGAGCTGTTTTTACAGCAGCCGTGATCCATGACGAGATGCACGGTGGTCAAAAACTGGAGTGATCTTTCTTTCTTTCTTTCTTTCTTTCTTTCTTTCTTTCTTTCTTTCTTTCTTTCTTTCTTTCTTTCTTTCTTTCTTTCTTTCTTTCCTTCCACCTGCCCTCCTTTCCTTTCCATCTCTGCATCTGGCTGTTTCTCTGACGATGAACAGCAATATCTAGTGTTTCCATGGTTACAGTGAGTAAGAGTACATCGGACCCAGCTATTTGGGGCACTGTTTAAATCCCATCGACTGCTCTGCAGGTTTTGGAAACAGGTTCATCGTATGCAGACACAAAGGCACAGGCTCCAGGGAGGAGTTGGTGACTTGCTGCGATAAGAATATTCTCAGGGAAGCAGAGATGAGCTGACAGCGGGGAGGACGTAGTGGAGGAGGAGGAGGGTTGTAGTGGAGAGGAGAGGGAGACGATGGAAAGGATGGAGAGCATCCGAAGGGTTTTTTTGATGGATTCGTGTGTGTGTGTGTGTGTGTGAGCCAGAGTCAAACAGCTTTCT